CAAACACATACCAGTTTCATCACTGTGTCTGTCACGCGACTCTGTTCCCCTTTCGGGCTTGAACTGATGGTAAAACTAAGGACATCTACTGTCTTTACATTTATGTTGAAAGCTGCAGCTCGTGATTATGGAAAGGGGCTTTCGACGCGTGCTTGTGGTGTTCGGCCAATCACAATGCACTGGGTCAGCTGGCCAATCAGAGCAGACTGTGCTTGTCGGAAGGAGAGGCTTTGTAGAAAACGACATGTTTGAGAGAGGCGGGGCATAGAGGAACTACAATAATGTACAGTATTTGAAAAATAATGTGTCTTTTGAACATTAAAGCATGTCAACATATTCTGTTACACCAAATACACAAAATAATGATCTTTAAAATAGCATCATATGACCCCTTTAAATTCAGTGATCACATGCACACTGAAGTTTGAAAATTCTTGAAACGGTTCCCGCAGCCGTGAAATTTTACTTGAAATTTGAAAAGTCATGGAGATTTTTAAAGTGAATGTCTTAAGCAAATCTTTTTAAGACGGTTGTTTTCAATGCATTGTCAATCTGACTCATAAATAAGTCTAAATTATTTATTAGCAAATTGATTTGAATTGATTTAATAATGAATTAGATAGGAATTAATATATTAATAATTAATTGAATAATCCTTATCCAGTAATCACAAACTACTTAAAAATTCATATCAATTCATTAGTTAAAAAGAGAGTTGGAACCCTGTTGAAAGTTTTATATCTAGACGATTATTATAGCTGTTATATGCAGATACATCAGCACTTTTAATGACGATGGTTCATCTTAGCAGGCCGATACGTCACAAATGTACGCTCCAGTAGGCGCCTACATTTCTTTGCGTGTCAGTACGTAAATGTACCAACGCAAACCGTCAATGGTCTGATTCTGCTGAGTCACTGGATTATCAAACATTCTCACACATGTACATTTAGAAGCGCACATAGTAACTGTGTTTGAGCCAGGCCTGACATGCTGGAGAAATACTGTCGAGAGCAGCATGAATTATTCTTTTTTTTTTTTAAGTATCTTCTTTTTTTCTTTCTCATTTGACAGCCGGTTTCTCATGTGCTTCGGGATGAAGATTGTCCCTCAATGATTGTGCCAAGCAGACCATGTAAGTTTTTTTTCAGAGAATAATTTTGTGAGGAATGCATAGTCAAATGGATGCTTTCTTTGCTTGTATTGTTCGTTACAATTGCCTGTATTGGTGCCAAATTTCAGTTCAAAACATTTAAATGCACATCAGCATTAATAATGTACAAATGCTTCAAAAAATATCCACAATTTCAGGCGAATCTCGAAACTAGTTCCCGAACAAAGAAAACCAAACATTTATTGGTATAAGTGGGCTAAATTAATTCACATTAGAACTATGTGTAATTAAAATTAAGATACTAATGAAAGATTACATGAATGTATGTAAATATGAATAGAAACCTGTATAGCAGGAGATCATGAGTTTCAGTTCAGGCCACTGTATCTCTTTGAAGCCAGCATATCTGTTTTGTTGTTAACATTGTGAATAATATAAGAGATAGAAAGAGAGGAAACGTCTCTGCCAAAGCTGGGAAGGTCACTGCATCCTCTCCATATCTGCAAAGGAGGCACAGAATGATATGAAACCCTTGGATAGCTGCTGCTTATCACCTCAGAAATTCAGGCCTTGAAGATAAATGAGCAGACAGACACAAAGCATGTCCTCAACAGCTTATAAATACTTAAAAATTAAGTGGGATTTTTATTTTTTCTTTATTTTTTGCTATTCCATCAGTTCTCCAGAGGTGCTTTCCCGATTTCATCACTAGAAACGGGACATTAACTGTTGCCAACCAAACAAGCTTCAAAGATGGACACGGTAAAATCAGAAGTGTCGTCGATCTGAGAGATGCAGCAAAGTAAGTTCACTTCTTAGTAGTGCTTAGCACTAAGCACCAATATATAAGACTACAGCTTAAAAAAAGTGTTCTACCAGCCTGTTTAGTATATGTTATATTGATGCTGCATTGTCTGTATGGCTTCAAAATTGCTCTCATTCAGTGTAACATGAATATGAAGACTAGTTAGGCAAGCCAAAACAGCCATGCTGGCTTGGTTTGAGTTTGACATATGAATTTAGTTACGACAGTGTTTCTTAAATATCAACTTTAATTTCACACGCCATTCTGTGGTCAAATATTATTATATAATGGCACTAAATTATATAATTTACTACATAATTATATAGCATATAATTTAAAACCAGTGTTAGTTTCACTTGTATCCCTCTGCAGTCTCTGTCTTCTTCCGTAATAAAATAATTTCATCTTATATTTAATATTTCATGTCTAATTTAATATTTATTTGGTTAAGTAGCTGTGTTTTAAGTGGGAGAATATACAGTCAGTTGGTTGCTCATGGAAAATAAACTCCTTTGCTTTACATCAGGGTCCTGATCACCTTGTCAGTGCTTATTTTGCGGCAACAACTGGCTAACTATACAGTACATTATCCCATATATACGAGTCTAAAAATATCTTTTGCCCTGCATAAAATCACTCAGCTCTTCCTAATTAGATACAATGATTAATAATTAATGAATGCTCTTCTGTTGGAGCTCTCCGTTTCCGTTTTAGTTGTATGAGTCAGATTTTAAGTGGGTGTACACTACCATTCAAACATTAGGGCTCGGTAAGATTTTTTTAATGTTTTCGAAAGGATTCTTTGATGAATAGAAAGATCAAAGGACCAGAATTTATTTGAAACATTGATTTTTATATAATATTATACGTCTTTACTGTTTTATTTTTTAATCAATTTCATGTATCCTTGCTGAATAAAAGTATTATTTCCTTTCCAAAAAAACACCTGACCCCTGACTTTTGAATGGAAATTCAAAAAAATTCAAAGTCTTGCGTCTTGATATTAAAAATATGTGCATTTGACCTCGTAAATACAGCAGGTAAACAAATAATACAGTTATTTCCAACATTTCGTCCTCAATATACTGTCTTCCCATCCAGGCAAGAGAGGACAATTTTATCTGGGTATGACATTTGGTCTTACAAAAGGTCAGAGAGAAGCAAATACGTCAAGCTATGCATGTTTGCATGAGTTTGCTGCTGCCATAATAGCACTGATTTAAACGCCGTGGGTGAAAGGTCACACAGGGTATTTTCTTATTTTGGCAGACTACAAAGTAAAATTAGTTAAAAGTAGTTCAGCTTTTTCCATCTAGCTGTTATTTAATGCACAAATGTGTCCTGTGTGAACAGGCCCTAACCAATTGTACTTTTGGAGTTTCACTCACAAAACCGGGCACTTTTATGCTCTAATCTAAAGATGCTTTTTTACAGCTGTTTACCTGATTGCAGAAAGCCAAGGGTTTTGCTTCATGTGTGTCTTTTGTAACATTCTCAATGCTTCTTTTTTGTAGCAAAGTTACAGCGATGCAGCAAGGAACAGAAAGGTCTCCATTTCTTGTCAGCTTTGAAATTAGACCTTGTCCTTCGCTTATCTACAAACTAACCTCCCTCACCACACATTCTCCACCTGCAGCCTCTCAAAGAATCTGTAGAACAGAAAAAACACATCTCTGGATGTTTTTTTCCCCCTCATCAGAACTGAGGTCACTGACAAAATCCTTCTGCCTTTCAGATGTCTCTCTTCTTAAGAATATAATGGCAAACGGAAGTGAGGAACATGTGACTTGTCATCGCAAGGTTGTTTTGTACAGGAACTATATTGATTGTGTTTTCAGCAAGTGTAGGAGTTTAAAATGCATTTGTAAAAATTGGGACACAGAGATCTCCTCCATTCATCTAAAACTTCTCTGTGTGATGAAAGTAGTTGAGCTGTTTTCAGTATAGTGCATTTAATAAAAAAATTTGATTTTTTTATTTTTTGCAGACTCGTGCTCTCATATGAATCATTCATATGATTCTTTGAGTTCCTGTGCAGGTGTCTGCACTGCATTTATTTTTTTTTTGTAGCAATATTCATCTGTTCTGCTTTTTTCTCTTTACAACAATTATACAAAATTATAGGTAAGTATAGATAACTGCATTTATTAAAAAAGTAGCTTCACTGTAGCTTTTTCAGACCGATGAGTTTTGTAAAAATCGACGCGTTTCAAAAAGGCGGGGCATAGAGGAGAAACAATAATGTACAGTATGTGGAAAATTATTTGTTTTTTGAACTTTAAACCGCATAAACACATTTCATTACACCAAATACACAAAATAATGTTCTTTTTAGCAGCATCATATGACCCCTTTAAATTGAGTAGCTTATAGCTTGACAAGTTTCAGTTTCAAAATAGCTTCCTCAACACTGCTGCTATCCTTTTCAAAACCACCTCACCTCCGTACATATAACATATTCATGTGCCTAACTTACAAGTAATAAAATCAAATGATAAATACTATCATTAAAGATTCCAATCAAAGTGCGCACATCCAGAAAAATATTTAATTATGTTCTCACCACAGGTGACGTTTCGAGCCAGAAAGTCTGATGAAGAGCTTTTAGGCTCGAAACGTCACCGGTGGTGAGAACATAATTAAATATTTTGCTACTTTTGGAGCTGTGGTGTGCCAACTTTGATTTTCCTGTTTGAAATACACTATCATTGAAATGTTTTTTTTTTTTTAAAGAAGACTCTCATGCTCACCTAGGATGCATGTATTTGATCAAAAATACTGTAAAAACAGTAAAATTATTACAATTTAAAATAACAGATTTTTAAAAAAAATACTTTAAAATGTCATTTATTCCTGTGATGGTAAAGCTGAATTTTCAGCAGCCATTACTCCAGTCTCCAGTGTCACATGATCCTTCAGAAATCATTCTGATATGCTGATTTGGTGCTTAAGAAACATTTCTTATTATCAATGTTGAAAACATTTTTTATTTTTTTTGATGAATAGAAAGTGCAAAAGAACAGCATTTATAAATGTCTTTACTGTCACATTTGATCAATTTAATGCATCCTTGCTGAATAAAAATATTAATAAAAAAATGGTAGTATATATACAATCACTTCTTTCACCCTAGATTTACAAAAAAACATAATCTATACTAATTTTTAGTTTGACCTGAGTAAAACGAGACAGTGTGGGATAGAAATAAAGTCTGGAGTCATCTTTACAAAACATTTCTGCTGGACTAAATATTTTGTAAAACATTAAGAAAACATGACTAATGACCTTTTAGACAGTTTGACATTGCACTGACTGTACTTCTGTCCCTCACAGCATAATTTTCAGTTGCGCCATATTTAATAACTTTGACTAAGTTCTTTAACCCTTCACCTCCACTGTTTTCTTACACCGGCGGTAACACTTGTGTGAAACATCTGGTAACACCTGTGTGAAACATCGACCTGACCTCTGTAGATCCGTAATAACCAACTGTAGTGTGCTTCTTAGATGAATGAAGAATGGACTGCATGTGGCATGTTTATGAGAGAGAGACATAAACCACCCCATAAACTGCTCTGTACTTTCAGTAAAGTTGATGTGCAGTTTATATAATTTTTTGACAGTTTTCTTGCTTTTACAGTGGCATCACCAGCCTTTTGGATGCAAAGGAAGTGGGCATTAAGATCTTTGAGGATTACGCCAGCTCGTGGTTTTGGATCCTAATGTATGTATAACATCATTTTTTGACATGCATTTTTTGAAATGCAGCATATTGATAGGTGTAGCTGATCTGTGGTTTATGGGTGTTTTCAGTGGTCTGGTGATAAGTATGCTGGTCAGTCTGATCTTCATTCTGCTGCCGAGGTTCACCGCTGGCGTTCTCTTCTGGATGGTCATCTTCGGGGTCATCGCAGCTGTGGGCTATGGTTGGTAATGACTACAGAATACTACATACCAATACTTAAAAACTAAACTCCGATATAGGCTACTAAATTTAAAGGGGACATCAGATGCCCATTTTCCACAAGTTGGTATGATTCTTTAGGGTCTTCATGAAATGTCTGCAATGTACTTTGGTTAAAATTCCTCAATGGTCGTGTAAAACAACACCATTTTTACCTTGCCAAAAACAGCTCTGTTCACAGCGACCCGTTTCAGTGCATGTCTCTTTAAATGATAATGAGTTACTGCTCACCCCTCTCTTCTGTGGAAGAGGAAAGGCGATTTGCAAATAATCATATAAAATATAAAGTGTGAGACTTCTTCTGAAGGTGCAGATGGATCATGAACAGTGGGTACTGATTCATCCTTGAGTTTCAACTTTTTAGCAAAACCTGCCTTGAATTGTCCCTCGTTCAGAAAGCAGTCTGGAGTAAAATGATTTGCGCAGACATGAATTTAGGTGTATTCGGTGGCGCATTACCATCAAAAACAAAACTATTCCACTGCATCCTCCTCAGTGGCTCTGATGTCGGGAGAAAATGAAGATTCTTATGTTCACTTTTACATCCAACTACAAAACACCTGCATTGCTTACGAGAAAATGGCGGACAGCGTACAACTGGCTGAGGGCGGAGATATGCAAATACGGGACAGTCCATCAGCGGTTGTGGGCGGGGCCTGAGCAGCATGACGTCATACTGCTCAGAAAATCAAACAGCTTGATAATTAAGAATGTTGAGGTTTTTTGGGGGTTAAAAAAAAAGAGAAGTGAATGGATTTTTATCATTGTAGGGTGGTTGTGTCCACACGCTGCTAAGACACATTTATATGCAAACACCATGTAAAAGTGAATTTTGCATCCGTTGTCCCCTTTAACATTAACTTCTTAAAGGGATAGGTCATCCAAAAATATATATTAAAAAAGTTATATAATATACGCATTCTCATGTTGTTTTAAAACCATATGTGACCCTGGACCACAAAACCAGTCTTAAGTGTCAAATCTGAAAGATTAATAGGCTTTCCATTGATGTATGGTTTGTTAGGATAGGACAATATTTGGCTGAGATACAACCATTTGAATATCTGGAATCTGAGGGTGCAAAAAAATCTCTTTTGTCTTCTTCAGTCAGATCTTATCAGTGAATCAAATGATCCAGTTCACAAAACTGAATGAATCATTCACGAACCAGACTAATCTGGTTCTCTCATGAAGTCTCAGGCAGTAAATGTTCACTTAAATAAAACCCTGGTCTTATAACTGGCTTTAACACTAAATGATGTGTCAGCTTGTTAGTGTGTGAATGTCTCTGCACTATGGGTTCATCCACTGTGTCCTGACTGTCACTTACAGGAATATGGCATTGTTACTGGGAGTACAGTTCACTCAAGGGGAAGCCGGACTCTGACATCACCATCCCAGACATTGGATTCCAGACTGACTTCCGGGTTTATTTGCAGCTGAGTCAGACCTGGCTCATATTCAGTGAGATTTCTTCGGTTATTCCAGAATATGAGTGTTTGTAGTGAAGTTTAAATCAAGTAATACATCTCAAACCAAGCAATGCACCTGCACTGTCAAGCTGATGAAGGTTATGAAAAGTTCAGTTTGATGGGAGTGACTGACAGCTTGATATTTTACCGCAGTGATCTCCTTGGCTGTCATTGAAGCTATCATCATCTTAGTGCTGATATTCCTGCGGAACAGAGTTCGTATTGCCATCGCTCTGCTAAAGGAGGGCAGCAAGTATGTTTCTTTCTGCCTTTCTCTCTTTTCCTTCTGTTTAACGGTGGTGCTTGGAAAGAATGGAAAAACGCCTGGAACAAAGCTGTCAAATGTTATTTTACATGTTATCTCTCTCTCTTTCCTACAGGGCGATTGGTTGCATCATGTCAACACTGTTCTATCCAATCATCACCTTCCTGCTTCTGGCTATTTGTATTGCATACTGGGCTGTTACAGCTGTGTATCCAAATTTCTATTTAATTTGAATGCTGAATGAAGTTGAATACTTTTTAATTTATGGACGTTTGTTTCTGCCTCAGGATAAAAAACCTTAAAGGTAATTGTGACTTTTTTATCTTACAATTCAGATTTAGATTTTCATGCAATTCTGACTTTTTATCTCACAAACTTGTTTCTTGCAATTCTGAGAATTACGAGATATAAACTCAGAATTGTTAGATATATAAACAGAATTCTGAGCAATTCTGAGAAGAAAAATCAGTATTGTGATATATAAACTCAGATTTGCAAGTAAAAAAATGTCAGAATTGTGAGATAAAAAGTAGCGATTTTTATTCTGTGGCAGAAAAAAAAACAGAACTGAGAGATGTAAACTCCGAATTGTAAAAATGTAAACATGTCAGAATGACTTAAAAGTCAATTAATTTTTTTTATCTTTTTCATTCTGTGGTGGAAACAAGTTTCCATACAAGACTACCTGTTTTATCGGAGCAGTCTTTATTTTAGCAGTTACATTTGGTAGCACAGAAATTGCACACTTTAGCTTTACTTAACTAGTTTGTATTGTATTTTCCTTAACCACAACTTCTTGTAGGTTCCTGGCATCATCTGGTGATGCAGTATATAAAGTAATGTCAACGCTACCCAACTGCAAGTATACCAACCTCACCTGTGACCCAGAGGTAAGAACTTACCCTACTGTAATCTGTGATCATCTGAGATACAGGAATCTGTTTACACAGTGTACATGTTTTCATTGTGCTAAATTTGAATAATAAGTCCATTTATATTGAATCTTGAGTTTAGTAGTTGTGTCATGTTGGTGTCTCTTTGATGTGTTTCAGACCTTCAGTCAGTCCAATGTCACTAAACTTTGTCCGGGCTCCCAGTGCACCTTTGCTTTTTATGGTGGGGAGAGTTTGTACCACCGTTATATATTTGTTCTTCAGCTCTGCAATTTGCTGGTCTTCCTCTGGCTGGTGAATTTCACCATCGCTTTGGGCCAGTGCACCCTTGCCGGGGCTTTTGCCTCGTATTACTGGGCCTTGAGGAAGCCAGCAGACATCCCACCTTGCCCGCTGGCTTCATCATTTGGCAGGGCTTTAAGGTATGTTGCCATTTCTGGTCTTAGAAGCTTGTAGATGATTGATTACTTCTGTGAGTGGAGAGCTGCAGGACTGAAATTAAATGTTCACTGTAATCACATTACCATGTTATGTTACATGTACAGGTATCACACAGGCTCTCTTGCGTTTGGAGCTTTGATTCTGTCCATTGTACAGTTTATACGGATTATTCTTGAGTATCTCGACCACAAACTGAAAGGTATAAATCACATTTTCATTTTCAAAAGTTTGAAACATTTTCATTATCAGTGATGGTCACAGTGATGCCTCCACTTGACATTGTTCTTGTATTACAATGTTTTAATAAAATAAGAATTATATTTTATAATGTAGTTTACGTCATACTTCAAACATTTATAATATTCTTATCTACACTGGCTATATGTTTGAAATTGTGGCTTTTCTAATTTTAGATTTTAACTTATTAAATAGTTGCATTAAATAGTTTCCTTGAATGCATTTTCACAATAACTTTCATCATAACATCACAAATTGCTGATGCTAGAAGAAAGTTTGCATTTTTACCTAAATCAGGCAGATACACCACCTTTCAAAATTGTGGATCAGTAGGATGTTTATTTACTTTTCTTCAGCAAGGATGCATTAAATTGATCAAAATTGACTGTAAAGACATTTGTTACAAAATATTTCTGTTTCAGATAAATGCTGTTCTTTTGACCTTTCTGTTCATCCTGAAAAAATGCATTACAGTTGCCACAAAAAATATTAAGACGACTGTTTCAACAACGTTAATAATAAGAAATGACACTGTAATGGCTGTTGAAAATTCAGCTTTGCCATCACAGGAATAAATTACATTTTAAAAGATATTAAAATAGAAAACATTTGTACTTTTATCAAATAAATGCAGCTTTGGTGAGCATAAGAGACTTCTTTCAAAAACATTAAAAAATCATACCTACCCAAACTTTTGAACGGTAGTGTAAAAATAGTGTAGAATACATTGTGAATAATGGTGCTGCTCTTTCATCTGTCTTTGTCGCAGGTGCTCACAATGCATTTACACGCTTCCTGCTGTGCTGCCTAAAATGCTGTTTCTGGTGCCTAGAGCACTTCATCAAGTTTATGAACAGGAATGCTTACATTATGGTGAGTCGCTCCACTTTTTCAAGGTACAGGCATTTCATAACTTTATACTATATACATATCTACTATATAACAGCATGCATTTTCAATGTGGATACTAAATTGTTTCATTTGTTTAAATATGAAAAGCAATGTCGAACCTGAGTTGTCGAGACAGAGACTGACAGAAAAGTGCATTGACATTTATTGTTCGTTTTTATTCATGTCCTCAGATTTCAATATATGGGAAGAATTTCTGTGGCTCAGCGCGAGACGCTTTCTTCCTGTTAATGAGGAACGTTATGAGGTAAGAGTCTGCACAGCTGCGACATTTAAAATGTAATTGTCAAGGTGTGAAGCTGCAAAGACTCTGTCTCTCACACACACACCTGTTCAAGAATTTGTTCCAGTTATTGTGACATTTCCAGGATGTTTTTAGGATGTTATTGTTTTATTAGGTTTATCACTGTCAAATTTCACTAAGTGTTTCTTCCATGCCATAAAATAAACACGTTTTGTTGTCTGATGTTTTTCTTCTGTGTTCGACTTGTGAAGCATAATTTTAAAGGGGTCATATGATGCTTTTTTAAAGATCATTATTTTGTGTATTTGGTGTAACAGAATATGTTGACATGCTTTAATGTTCAAAAAACAGAAAGGAAAACTTGAAATCGCATCATATGACCCCTTTAATAAAAGTCATATGTGGAGATAAACACACCTTTGACAGGCACAACTCATATTTGGACAAATATTATTAACTAATAAATTGTGAATTCTTTAAATATTCCTTATAATAAAATGTCTAGTTTATGTAACAGCTCCAGTACTAAATATGACAATATATAGCATCTATTTAATATTCTGTGTATTTTTCTCTAGAGTTGCTGTTCTAGACAAGGTGACTGACTTCCTGCTGTTCTTGGGGAAACTGCTGATCTCAGGGAGTGTGGGTGAGTCAACCGTTTTATCTGACATACAGACAGGGCAACATTTAATAGAGTAATAGAGTCTGGGGGCTTAAACCACACACAGAGACACTGCATAGACCTGCCTACATACACATAAATTATAAACACAAAAATGATTGATGTCACATTGTTTGCCATCCTGGCTCTTTTTGTTTGCTGATGTTGTGAATATGTATTTGCAGGTGTCCTTGCATTCTTTTTCTTCACCCGCCAAATACCAGTAATCCAGCAAGAGGTGCCATCATTAAATTATTATTGGGTCCCTCTACTGGTGAGTGCAAGCATTACAGCTTCCTCATGTTCTAGAAATTATGCTTGTGTATATATATATATTTCTAAAATGCAATATATGTAAAATACAATTTAATATGCATATATATATATATGGTTAGTACTATAAGTACACACACACACATAGATATACAATTTTTAATACATTATCAAATAAATTAACAAATATATAAAATATACATATATATAAAGATGAATACATTATATACACATATATAAAACATCATTAAAAACATAACCGATTTGTATTTATCGAGGTATGTTGGAACGCTGATTTATTCTAATTTAATTTCTCTTTTAATCTTTTTTCCATTCACAGACTGTGATATTTGGATCCTATATGATTGCACATGGGTTCTTTAACGTCTATGCCATGTGTGTAGATACATTGTTCCTCTGCTTCTGTAAGTACACCTTATTAAATCTGCAATATTCATGTATGCGTGTTTGGTAATAAATGCTGAACATCATGATGTTTTCAACTTAAACAGCTGGTTTTGTTCTTGATGAATACTGTACACACCCACTGGTCTTTACCTTTCCTCTTCTTTTCTCTGCATGACTTTGACCACTTCTGTTCTCTAAATAAAATACTATTGTGATCTTTATGTATTTATTCTTTTCACTTCTTCTTTTCAGACTGCATGACTGCTGTCTAACTCTGCTTTCTTATTTCTTTTTTCCCTTTTTCCTTGCAACACTCTGTCTTTCCTCCTTCTCTTCCATTCTTCCGTCATCTGGTTTGATGGGACTCCCTTCAGGTGAAGATCTTGAAAGGAACGATGGCAGTCCTTCCAAACCATATTACATGCCTCCAGGCCTGCACAGGATACTTGACAAAACTGATCAAGCAGGCAAAAAGTATGCTGTGTCCTGAAGCCGTCACCTCAGTGGGACGTGAAGAACAGCGCTAATACTGTAGCTCGCTGCATCTCTCCCGCAGCACAACAAGGCCTTCTGGGATATAGAATCAGATAGCATTAATAGAAGGGATCTTCTCTCTGCACTGTCTGCTAATACTGACTGACTCCTGCTCTATTTTTTCCCATACGTTTTTCCCTCTTTTTCTTTTTGCTGGTAATTCTGTCCATCATTGCCTTACCCATTGTTTGTCTTCTGGAGAAAAGTAATTGAATTAAGGTCTGATAATACTCTGGTACCCAATGATGAAAGCAAGTTATTCTATATATTTACTCTCTTTATCTTGCAGTATCCTACTCTTTCTATACAACCCTTTGTTTTCATGTCATTTTTGGTTTATAAGTTCATGCAGTACATTGATGTGCATGTGGATGGATTGACTAATTTCTTAGTCCACATGATTGTAATATTAACTTTGTCATAGTCTAATGGCAAATGCTATTGTAATGGGGGAATCTTAATAGATAGTGTATATTCTCTTATAACCATGTTTTGATAGAATCTATGAATTTTTCAGGTGTTCTGATGACAGTATTTAGTAACTGTGCCTGATTTAAAAGGAAGAGTGCTGCTCTTCTTTGTTTTTGATTTTTTTTTTTTTGCAATCAATCTGAAAGTTTTTCAAGTTCAATTTATAAAAGGAACATAAAAGCCATTTTTTTGTAATTTTGTAGACTGGTTTGATGCTGCGTCTACTCTGTGAAGTTCAGTACAAGTTGTCTTTTAATGGGGGAAAGTTTTGTAAAAATATTATTAATATGTTTTTTTTCCATTAGAATAAAGCTGAACTAAATATTATGAATGGTTTGATTCTTTTCTTATTTTTCTTTCATTTTTCAGAATGCTAACAAATTTTAATATCAATATTATTCACTACATTCTCAGCTTAAAATTATATATATGCCACTCAAAGCTTTATTTTTTTTAATGTTTTTGAAAGAAGTCTCTAAAATAGTAATATTATGAAATATTACAATTTAAAAGAACTTTTTTGCTATTTGAATATATTTTAAAATGTATTCGTGTGGTGGCAAAGCTGAATTTTCACATGATACTTCAGAAATCATGCTGATTTGGTGCTCAAGAAACATATATATATAACGTTACAAAAGATTTATATTTCAAACTTTCTGTTCATTTAAAAATCCTGAAAAGAATTTATCACGGTTTCCACAAAAATATTAAGCAGCAAATACTCATTGATGCAAAAATCACATGAACGATTGGTTGGCATTAATGTTACTTGTGCTCCTGTTCTCAGTGCTTGATCTGGAGAAGAACGACGGCTCAGTGTCCCGTCCGTATTACATGGGCAGCAGCCTGCGTGCCATCCTCAACAAGAAGAACCACAAGAGACCAGAGGAGAAAAAGATAGGTAGACAACAGAAGAAGTAGCAACCAAACAAAAGGCGCTGACATGTAAAACACACATTCTGGTTATTCTGTGTTAATAACCAGAATGTGAGACTGGCAAATGGACTGGTTTAAGCAATATTCAGTCATGTATGTGATAGTTTTGTATTAGAAATCTCATTAGAAGCCCAAAAATATAATTTGTACTGATCTGCAGCTTTCTGTTTATTATGCAGGTAAATATAATTGACAGTAAGCAACTAAATGAATTGAGGTTATTTCCTGTTTATGGATGTGTCTTATTTTGTATGGCTTTCTATAGATTTTAGTCATTTTTTAACTGATTCTTGTCTTTTATATGACCATTGCATTCTGTTAGCACCCATTTGGGCTGAAACTGCCACTTTTCTCATATTGAGAAAATGACCGATAACATTTATTCGTTCTTCACTAAATTAATTTTTCTCAACTTTTATGAGTTGCTGTTTGTAATTGCAGTTCAGCTGAAGTGCCTTATTCCATCACACAGTTAACAGCTCTTATAACCTCAACCGCATGTTGATATGAGCCCTTTTCTGCTGTGCAGAGCTTATAACTCTATTTATTCTTTCATTACTGCTCTTATTCATCCATCCAACTGCGTTTCTCATCAGGCCGATTGCTCTCTAGCACTCCTTCAGAGTGTTTTCATTGTGTCCATTCACACTTCATTTTAGCCATGGAAAGACTTGAATTCATCTTAATAACACCTTGATATGAATATGTGTACAGAGTAGTGGTAGTTATTTGATGTGAACTAATTTCTGTTCATATTTTGATGAAGTTATGTCATTGGCATCAATTTGAAGTATTCCTTTGTTGTTTTAATTATTTTTATAAAAACATGCTTTACTTTTCCTTTTATTAAGTATTAAGAGTGTATTACCATTTTTATGTTGTTTTATGTTAAGAACACTTGAATGTGAACAGTGAGTGCATGTGCTGGATTGTTATTCAGCTTTCATAATTCATCTAAATTGTATTTTGAGTTTAACACCTGTCTAATCATTGGTATGTAACTTTATTTAATCCTCTTCATAGTTTACAGTGTGGTAAACATGTTTATTATTTTTGTAAACATATATTGTGCTGTTTTGCAAAGCTTAATAACACTGTATGATGTAATCCAAATGCATGCAAGGATAAATTCGGAAATAAAGTATTTCATATAGACACGTGACAAGAAGTTATTTATTTTTAGTTAAACCACATGGGATGGGAACAAAACACATAATAAATAAAAACATAAATTAATACATTTAATACAAAGGTATGAGTGGCATAAATGTAGTTACAACCGCTGGTACAACATTTACAACTGAACTGAAAATTGTTTAGCTGCTGCTGATTGGTAGATGTGTTGATTTGTGGGACAGTAACGGCTGATAGAGTAAAAATGATGGTGTGTGCACTAAAAACAAAAGAAAAACAAGGCCATTAACAAAAGCACAAACACAGAGGGACAAATTTATGTCATCCTGACACTGGATACCATTTCCATTAGCAGTTTTAGTAATATACATCAAAAAAATAAATTTGATGTTCTTTCAGTGTTTTTGCTCTCTCGGAACAGTTTTCAACACTAAAAATGTTAAATAGATAATGTACTATTCAAAGACTTCATCTGATTGTACTACATTCCCATAAATCTCACCATCGATGCAGGTGCTGTGTAGTGCTGTAAGCAGGGATGTGTGTGAATAGTGCTGCTCATTCAGGGTGGACATAAGCTGGTGTGAAGACAGACCTCCTGTTGGTACTGCTGAATGAGGGGGAGAAATGTGCTTCTTATGACGGGCACGACAGTTTTGAAACCAGACCTGACCAGAAAGAAATTCAAAGAAATTACTTGGACAACACGTGAACTCTTCTTTGTTGCCTCATTATTAAAGGGGTCATACGATGCTTTTTTAAAGATCATTATTTTGTGTATTTGGTGTAACAGAATATGTTGACATGCTTTAATGTTCAAAAAACACATTATTTTTCAAATACTGTACATTATTGTAGGTCCTCTATGCCCCTCCGCATTACCTCCTCTCCTAGGTTCACGAAACGGTCGTCCATAAAATGCATTGCTGTTCTGTTGTAAGTAATCTTAAAGATTCCTAAATGCATCTACTTTCGGAAGGCCAAATAATGTGCTTTTGCTTTCGCCTAGAAACACACAGCGTCTCCTTGACATGGCTGCTTCAACACTAACTGCGGTTACTGACACCATGCCTTCTTTCTTTGCGTGCACATTTGCGGCGGGATTATGCAAATATTTCCACATAGTGGGGTAGATATGTGGGGGCGTGTTAGAATGAGCCGTTTTAGGGGGGCGTGGCAGAGTCTTAACTTTGATAAAGAATATCTCTTTGGTTTTGAGACGTTAGTCTTTGCAACTTCAGGGATCTTATCTATGCACAATCAGCTTGTAACACTCCAAAGAGAAAGGAAAACTTGAAATCGCATCATATGACCCCTTTAAACAAATGGTAACGGGCACTTTAGAAACTGCTAACCTGAATGACGCGTCGGCTAAGCCCAGTCTGTTCAACAAGCCTCTGAAATGTCTGTGCGTCTGGGTTATTGTCCTGAGCAAACTGAGCCTGCATAACCTGCAAGTCACAAACATCAAAATACTGTAGTGTCAACAGGGCAAGAGACATTAAGCTAGTAGGAAATCTGTAAGTATGCTTTGATTACAGGTAGCAACAACATAGCAGGGATCCATTATTGCTTACACTGAACTTCATCTTAATAATACAAACCCCGGAACTCAGTATGTGGCACATATTGAACAGCGAGAGTGATGCTTTTGTTTACCTGTAGCTGGTTTGAAGTGAAACTGGTACGTGCTCTTTTAGATGGTTTTTGGTTTATTTCACAGCCTGTATGCAACGCACCTTCAGGAGAGACGTTTTTTCCTGGAATAATAAACGGTAAGGCACAGGTGTAATTATTTATAAGACATACCGAGCATGCTACAAACCAGAAGACACCAAAACCAAACAACTGCCTTATTCCCCCTAAGATGTTACTAGATTACTTTTACACAAACTGTGCAAATCATATCTAGTTTAACTTTGTAAAGCCAAACATATGAAAATATATATTTAGAAAAATCTAATTTTTTTAAATGGAACAGTTTATTGAAACTTCAGACAAAATCTAGACAAAAAGGTAGGGTTTGTTGTTGAGTATCTCTGATAAATTAGTCTTTTATGGCTGATATAGTATGATATACAGAATATGGAGAACATAATTTAAAAAAAAAAAACTGATTTTATTCAGAGGCCCAAACTAAGCAAAAATATGCAGTTTGGTGAAGTTGCTGATATGTGTATGGCCCAAAATTAAGAACATTAAGAAATTCTGATAGCTTGTGATTTAAATCAGTGAAATCGTTTTAGAGGACTTCTTGTATAAAAAGCATATAAATATCAGTCACTCTATATCTCACAATAATATGTCTTAGTAAAATGATATTTAATCAGTTTTATGATCAAAGCTCTAGTTTTAATTATGGGGTGCAAAACATATAATGCAATGCAATACAATGATGTTTGAGAGATGTACAAATAAACATTCCTCAAAAGATTGATGTATTGTATTTGATGCATTTTAACATGTTTTTTTTTTAAACACTATATATGGATAATCAAATAAACCTAAGTTGCTTCAGTGCAATAAGTGTTCATCTTGAAATATTACTAACAATATAATTTTTTCTTACATTTACTTAAAAAAAAAAAAACTGTAAAAAAAAATTCACACCAAGACGTAACGTGCCTCAACCTGAAGGTGGACATTTTTTGAATTATACCAAAAGAACTTTTACTTGTATGTGGTTTTTACAGCAAAGTTTAGATCATGTCGATAATTTAGAGGCCTTAGAAATCTTATCAAATATGCTAGAGTAGGCTTTAAAGGGTTGAAGTACAGCTCTGTATGCATTCAGGACTCACAACTCACCTTTTTCAGCAGCACCTTTGAGTTTGTCCAGCATGCTGTCGTAATGATCTCGACACAACAATTTTTGCCCAACCAAAGCAAACTCCTCGCCTGTGGACAGCTGTTTCTTACAAGAGAAGCACAAGAAACATGCCAGGTGGTAAACATTTCCCTTTGCCCTGCGCACCCAGTCTGTGGAGTGAACTGTTTCCCCGCAGCACGAGCACCATGTCCGATACCTCCTGTCAAACAGCCATAATGGATTAGGTTGAATACATACTGAAACACCTTGTCTGCATATACATAATGTACATCTTTCAGAACTACCTGAAATAATCTAGTTTGCAGAAGACCTCTTGCTCTCTAACGTAGCAGGTTGCGTGTCCACTCAGAGTGGTTTGGCACACACTGCATGAAAGGCATTGCACATGCCAGCACAAGTCACTGACCTGCATTCAACAAGAAATTACATTACAAAACGATCATACAGCATTTCAAATTGTCAATGCAATGAATAAATATAAACTAAATGATCCTTGTCACCTTAAGGAGATACCGGTCTAGGATGTCCTCTCTACACCTTGTGCAAACTGCTTTGCCTTGGAAAGCATCAGATGCCATGGCTTGAGGTAGAGCAGATGGAGAAGCCGGATCAGATCGGCCATTCATAAGTTCTGATGAACTCTGTAGAAACAGAATTTAGAAACAAAATTATATTTGGTCCAGAATTTAAACATACAGAACATTTTGTTGGTTTCACTCAACTGAAAACTAGCCTATAGCCTAGTTAAACTGCCAACTTCTATAAAGCACAGATAATCGCACTGGGTTAGGGAAATACGTCTTTAAAAGTATATCAGATGTCTAATTCTACATTTAATTAATTTGATTCAACAATTACCATTTTATGTACATATTAATTATACATTTTTAATCAAATGTTAATTTTTAATTAAAATTTTACGAACGAAAAAAAATCGAATTTTCATTAAGTTTTACGAAGATATCGCGTTCGCGTGAGGAGGTAACCATAGCAACCGTCGCTCGTGCCCTTATTTTTAGGATCTGTATCGGTACACCGGCAAAGCATAGGTAGGCTATTGTCATTATTTAACGCTTTATTCTAGGTTTTATTCATATCACATTTGTATCACAAAACTCTTAAATCGGTTTTTAAAGTTTTAAAAAGTATTTAGGCCGCGAAAATACGGTTTGCGCGAGATGAACCTCAATTAATTAAACCCGAAGAATTTGCTAGAAATTTAGCAATAGTTGACCCTTTGACTGAAGGTTCATGGTTCATCGATGGCTTCAGGTCATAACCTTACCCTAAGCAAAAAATATATATTTACCATACAAATGTTGTTTGTAACTTCTCTGCACTTGCTGGTAAAATCCTCACTGCGATCCATAGACATGACTGTAGTGAATGCGCTTCGGATTTCCAAATCTCGCACCGAAACTCAGCCTTTAAATGTGCGCGCTCCATCCCATAAACATCATCCGCTCTTCTCTTCACCATGACAACCGCAACAATTACCAAAACTACGTTTACGACTTTCAGAATTTCAGGCATTGTTAAAACCAGTGGTGGAAAGAGTACTGAAAAAATATACTCAAGTAAAAGTACCATTACCTTCCAAAAAATGTAGTGTGAGTAGAGTAAAAGTACTTACCTCAATTAATTAAACCCGAAGAATTTGCTAGAAATTTAGCAATAGTTGACCCTTTGACTGAAGGTTCATGGTTCATCGATGGCTTCAGGTCATAACCTTACCCTAAGCAAAAAATATATATTTACCATACAAATGTTGTTTGTAACTTCTCTGCACTTGCTGGTAAAATCCTCACTGCGATCCATAGACATGACTATAGTGAATGCGCTTCGGATTTCCAAATCTCGCACCGAAACTCAGCCTTTAAATGTGCGCGCTCCATCCCATAAACATCATCCGCTCTTCTCATCACCATGACAACCGCAACAGTTACCAAAACTACGTTTACGACTTTCAGAATTTCAGGCATTGTTAAAACACGTCCGACTCTTGGAGTAATGTGCAGTAGGCTATATTATGTACTTGAAATCCGCATTAGTGATTCGGAAACGGTTCACACGTAATGCCTTCACCTCAAACGTATCAATTACGCACGCCAGTCAAAACCTCTGAAGAATCAGTGGAAGAAGAGAATTGATTTATTTAATTACACCAATTAAAACCCCGCGTTTGGCACAAACGCGCAACCAGAGCAACCCAAAGGTGAAGAGGTCTCATTAAACTCTTGACAAGGCGGGTCCTCTTCTTCTTCTGCTATAATTTAGAGGAAATAGTAGAAATATTTCGTCCAAACTGTGCACGGAACACATCACTTCGGGAAGAAAAAAATCAATTCATCATTATGACGGAGAAAAAAAATCAATTCATCATTATGACGAGAAAGGCGCTTTCTCAATAAATTCTCGTATTCATAATTAAACAACAGGTGTTTCCTAAAGCAATTTCCGTTTTAATGAGCGTTTTGATGTCTTTATGCACATTTGACAGACAATTATGTGCCACAAAACCTACACAGTTTATAGGACGTTTTAAACTTTTGTTTGAATACTTTGTTAATGCTTTAAGATAACAACAACAACAACAATAGTAGTAGTAGTAGTAAGCATCTTATCATTATTATTATTATCATCATCAATATTGATTTATTTAATTTCGTAGGACTAGCTAAGGATTATCTGTTTGTTAGTCGAATACTAGGTTTAGTTCTTTTTATAAAGGCCCTAATTTATAGGGTCACGTTTTATTAATTTTAATTTACCAAATTTTAGCAATTGTGCCTAATGACTGATATCTTAATACGTATAATTGTGTACTATGGCATTTAAACAGATTATAACAATTATAGTAATAAAAACACTTAATAAAACAATTTCTCTTAGTAACTTTACTAATACAGTCAGTTTGACATTTTCCATAATTGGCATCTGTTTTCACTTTGTTTTCCATGAGAGGCATCATTTTCGTTGTTTAAGTTATGGCGTTTTGTTTGCATGACAATCTTTTTAACGTACTTAATTGTCTAACTAGTATTATTTATATAATTTTTTAAAACAAAGTGTGCCAATGGAAATACTCATTGTGCGCTCCGATGAGGCCTTCTTTAGACCGTGTGTTTTGAGTCAAGGATGTCTTGATCACTTCAGGACTGCAGTGATCTCTGTCTGGTCAATCAGAGAGCCTTGTAAAAATGCCCTAATCAGGAAATGATTGTCTCCACAATCACAGCACAAATGTCCAATCTAACACTGATTGCACTTGCTGCCACCCACAGCACAACCAAACACCATGACAATCCCACCGATGCATCATACACACACACACACACACACACACGTTTCTCTATCTTAGTGAGGACATTGCATAGACTTCCACTGATTTTCTATCAGGTTAATGATATTTTCTATCAGCTGACCCAACCCTACCCCTAAACTTAACGATCACAAAAACGTGCAGAACACTAGATTTAAATCAAAACATCTTTTGGCAAATTTATAAGCCTTTTTAACTAGTGAGGACCAGTCAAATGGCCTCATGGGTTGTCAAAGTATAAGTGATGACATTTGGTCCTCACAATTATAGTCAAAATAAGTACACACACACACACAAACAGACCAAACAATATTTTTTATCTCCTAACCCAACCCTACCCCTTACAGAAAACTTGTCTACATTGTTAAACTTTCAGATAAACATCATTGGGTATTTTAAATATTTTTTTCCCTTGTGACCACAGTCCAGTCTCCACAATGTCAAAAATTTCAGGTTTTACCATCCTTGTGGGGACATACTGTCCTTGTGGGGGTCCCCTAATGTAGGATAAATGAGTACACTACACACACACACACACACACACACACACACGCATTTTGGGTTTTCATGTTTTATGGGGACATTCCATAGGGGTAATGGTTTTTATACTGTACAAACTGTACTTTCTATCCCCTTACCCTAACCCTAACCCAACCCCTTAACCTACCCCTCACACAAAACTTCCTGCATTTTAGATTTTCAAAAAACTTCATTCTGTATGATTTATAAGCTTGTTTCCTCATGGGGATCAAAAAATGTCCCCACAAGGCCAAAGAATTCGGATATTGCCATCTTTGTGGGGACATTTTGTCCCCATAACGTAGGGTATACCTGAACCACACTCACTCACTCACACACACACACACACAGACAGAGTCGGCGCCAGCCCATACATACTGGGGGGATTCGCGTTTCTAGAGGGGGCCTCGGTAGAATTGGTTGAACGCACACAAACCATTCCTGTACGCAATTCACGCAGTACCTGCTTAGGATTATAGACATTTTAAGAGTTGGGCAATGCAATTTACAGGCACATTAGTACGGAGTAAAAATTATTGTTTTGATGATATTAATAATCTACAATAGCCAAAAAGGCTATCAAGGCTTTTAAGAACAGAGAGGGAATAATTATAAGTCAGTTTGCTGACGATACAACGTTGTTTCTTAAAAATGAACAACAAATTCCACTAGCTTTACACTCGATCAACCAGTTTTCTAAAGCTTCAGGGCTTTATTTGAACCTAAAGAAATGTGAAATGTTAACTTTACATGAGTTTCCTTTACAGACATTATTTAATATACAACTTAAGAAGGAAGTTAAATATTTGGGAATTACAATTTCTAAAGATAGAGAAATAATGGAGAATAAAAATGTATTGAATAACATAGATAAATGTAAATCCACTCTGAACAGATGGTTACAGAGGGATCTTACAATCTTTGGAAGGGTTCTTTTGTCTAAAATGGATAGTTTGTCCAGACTTATCTACCCAGCCTTCTCCTTGCCCATATCGACAAGAATGATCAAATTAATAAATAAGGTGACTTTTAAATTTATCTGGAGAAATAAATGTCACTACATAAGAAAGGAAGATATGATTAAAAAATTTGAAGACAGTGGTGTGAATGCGATCGATTTTGATATTATGAATGGTGTTCTGAAATTGAAATGGTTAAAATCCTTTCATTCAAAATAGCAGTTCTTTTTGGTTTATTGTCCCCAGTGCCATTTTTAACAAACTGGGAGGAATACATTTTTTTCTACGTTGTGATTTTTTATTGTGATCTTGTTTGTCACTGGTTATGCTCAACCTAAGGCTGTTCACGTGTTGTTAGATTATGTGATGTGTTTATGTACCTTGTTTGTTAGTTGTAAATGGAAGCATAATAAAAAAAAGAAGAAAAAAAAAAGAAAAAAGAACAGCGAGTTCGTCCGTTGACAAACGATTGGAAATGGAACACAACGCAAAGGTCTCGAGGTCAGATCGCGCAACTTTAATAGCACGAGACTAAAAAATCGCAGACGGAATGCAATAAAATGTCCAATAAGAACGCGTAAATTTTTAGCATATAAATCTTATTTTGTAGTTGTAACAACAGAGACAATATTGGTGAAATTAGGTGAAATTAAATAAGTAGAGTAATTTTTGTTATCCTAAAATTTTAGTCACGCGACCAGATTGAGAAATTAGACAAAATAATTTTCAATGCCAGGAAGTAAAGTTGATTCACTTCTACTTAAAATGTTATGTCACATACAGAGACAGCCCTACACAGCGTGTAGTGAAATGCTTTTTACGATTCTCTGTACACAGAGTAAAACTAACATAGGAAATAAAATGCAAATAGAAAGAACACATGAATAAAAGGAACACAGGAAAAAAGCTTAAAGCTTAATTTACTTAAGCTACTGTACTTAAATTTTTTAGATTCCTTAAAAAATTACCATTCTTATGTTACCAAGAATTAAATCCCAAAATGCTGGAGATTATATTACTGCAGTGAAATATTCTGACGATTCCTTCATCACCTTTAGGACATGGACGGACAATCCCCAGTGAAAACACTAGAGGGCGTTAATGTACAGCTTTAAGGCTTTTTTTAACCTGACCTACAATAATCTTCACGAAATAAACCGAATTCATGTTTGGGCCTAATAAATCTTCAGAACCATAACATTTGACAAAAGGTATATGTTAGACAATACATGACATTTTTTTTTTTTTTTCCCCCATTTTTTCAATAAGCCCTGTATTTTTTATTTACATCACGGATATGTAAACATTTGACTATAAGACTTACTAATATCAAAGTCCCTTTAAGGTATTCTAAAGTCTTTGCTAATATGAACTTAAGTACTATAATGTATCTTTTAAATGAAGCACAAAGAATGCGGAGGCATCGTCACGTGATTCACCATGGCAACGCTGGTTGTCATCAGTTCCGCGCGAGGAAAGGTGTTGAGTATTCAGAGCCGGGCAAACAGATGCGCACATAGTTTTAATGTCCTCTGGATTAAAGAAAGCTCTCCT